CTCCCTTCCTAATCTCACTTGTACTGTGGCAACGGATGGTTAATTTGTTACTATGCAGTTGTGGCGCACTCAGTTGAGTGTATAAATAAATAAATTTCAAGGCTTTATATTGACCGGCTCTCCGCTTCGCGTTAGAAGAACTTAAGCAATGAGGTGCCTAGACACGGTAGGCCCGCCTCTATCATCGGCCTCTGTCTTCCAATCAGACAAGGCTGGAAGGTTTTAAACAATGAACACACACTTTAACAGGGACCTACTTACGAGAAGGGGATAATGGTGATGATAAGGGGGCATCTACGCCTTGAACAGTGAAGCGGAGCCATTGTGTAGGGGATTTCGAAGGTAGATTTCTCTGCACTGTTTTTTGATCGCTCTGTTTTATTTACCGTTCTCATTTTTGCTCACCTACTGATATAACTGTAATTTCCGTCCGCTATGTTTGACATCAGGATTTTGTCAAAGTTTTCACTTTATTATCCATGCTCCATCTTTTTCCTGTATTTAGTTTTTCAATTTTTCTTGTTTGAGCTCAATGGATTTGTTTTGTTGATCATTTTCTTTCCCCTCAATTCTTGTCAGAAACCTTAGTTCGACTCTTCTCATCCTGCTTTGATGTATACTTCTCCCACAGCTCTTTCGTTCTAATCTTAGTGTTCTATATTTCCTAATCTTTTAGAATCTCAGTCTTTTGGGTGTGCCAACACCTCGGCTATTGAAACAAAGCGCTCGTAGGAAGAATTCGTGAAAGGTAGGTCTCTAGACACTGTTTCTCACTTCTTCTTCTATTCCAGTTTGCTTTGTTTCTCGAATGCGAGTATCAATCCATTTAATTTACCGTTGAGACACCATTGCATTTTGCCCTCTCCTATTTAAACTCTATCCTTTTTCTACGCTTTGTTTTTCGATAGATCTCTTTTCCCTCCCATTCTTCTTTACTTCACTGCTTCCCCCACAACTGCTCTGTTAGAATCGTAGAAATTTCATATTTACAATCTTCCAGGTCCTCAATATTTCCGATTTGTTCTAAACATCGTCCATAAAAGTGAACCTCCTGTTGGGGAGAAGCAGCAAAAGGTAGCTTTTTGTGCAGTGTTTACTTTGTTTTTTTTCTAATTCATTCCCCTTTTTCGCATATACACTGATTCGAGCGTGAATTTCAAGTTATTGATTTATCTTCTNTTTTTTTTCTTGGGAATTTACATCTCATCAACACACCTGACATTTCACGCGTAATTTTGACAGGAGATGACGATGATAATTCAATGACTACTTAGATACCGGGATTTACTTTGGAAGTGATCACTATTTAAGTGAGTCTTTGGGCATAAGCTCGTGGGGGTCGAATGAGGATTTGTCGGCGTGTCTTAATTTCCACTCACATTGGGCGAAGACAGGTGGATTTCAGATATGGACGTCTCGTTTTGTGCTTCGTGTGGGAAAGCTATGTCAACATACAATAGCTATTTGAGACATTTACGCAATGTTCACGGTGAACTAGGAGCAGAAACCGCATCCGCACTTGTAAGGAAAAGGAGGGAGGCAGCTAGGGCTTCAAAGCCGCACAAATGCTCATTATGCGACTTCAGGGGAACGTCGAAAGGAGCATTAAGCAAACACATGACTAGGTGAGTTGTTTGACTTCAAAATTCTAACTCAGTTTGAGGAGCAAATTTTTTCAAGGAGTCATAGGGAAGTCTTGGCTGCACGGCAAAACATCGATATGGAGCTGGCGACACCCGAACGCAGGCGTGCTATTTTGTGTCCTTTATGTCCTGCCAAAATTGATAGTTCGAAAACGCTAATCAAGCACGCTTGCAAAGATCATGGATTTCAAGGCAGAGTCATGACTAAGCAATTTGGAAACCGTGAGGACTTCATGGTGGGTAATACTTCATTATAATTGAGCAGCAAAATTGTATGTCTTCTCATAAGGATTGTCTCGGACCAGTAGTTTAGGTTTGGAAGGAAGAGCAGGAGCGGTGCACGGCAACGCTCTGGTCATGCTACAGTTGCTTTGCAAAAAACGGTCTTAAAATTAAATATTATAAGTGCAGCCGGTATGCCAATCATAGTATAATGTACTTCTATATGAACATGCATTTGTATGATGCATTGTGATAGGTTGAAGGGTATGCAATTAAATGCATCCCATCAACTACAATACATTTCAGATCCCGTAGAAGAACGGTCGGCGAGACCAAAAAGAGGCGCAGTCATAGTAAGGCAACCACATCAGCGTGCACCTCATTTTTAAAAGTAACTTTTCTAGAGTCAAATTTGAGCATACATATAGCAACTACTGAATTAAGTACTTTAGACTGTTGAGAATGAGTGCAGTGGAATTGTCGAAGTTGAGTATTGCGAATCGCATCTGGGTCACTGTGTTAGTGCCGCTTCGTTGTCAATGCTCCATGACGGTAGCTTAAATGTTTTCTCGTCCAATTCATAGCTTATACCTAACATTCCAGACAGTGACACTGTGATTGTTGCTTCTGGCGTTACTAGAAATGCGCCATTTGTCGAGGATTCACTTGTAACGGAGAAATCTAGTGGTTCCGCCTTCAATAACAACTCGATGGGAACGGACATCCCAGAAGAGGACACTTCCAGAGAGAATTGTATGAAAGTCAGGAACCGAACAGAAAGGGTAACATAGCAAAATCGGACTGCAAGATCAAATCATTCGACAGTATTCTATGCTTTTCAGATGTTGGATTACTTATCTGCATATGTCAGAAGATTGGCTTTCAAAGGAAATACTGAAGTGCAATCAGAACTGGAAAAGGTTGAACGTGGAATTGAAGCGGTTATTGATAAGCTAACTTTTGGTATGAAGCGCCCCCTTTGTTCTCGTAACCTTTGCCAATGTCAACTTTTAATTTCAGACAAAGAATTGCTGACAGATTCCTCGTCTCCCCGAAGAGGTCGTCCCCCAAAATCCGCGAAACAAATGCGGAACAAAATACGATATTCCTCCTCGAATAGCCGAAGATATTGAAGGAGACGACGAGTTGGACCTTTGTGTTGTGTGCGACAGGCGAGAACATCCTGGAGACTTAACTGATACCGGAGACGTGTCTATTGTCTGGGTGAGTGTGACGAATGCCACAGTTGGACGCACCTGAGCTGCATTGGTACGAGAGAATGGATGTGCTGTGGTGGTGGGACTTTCGAAGTGATGACAGTTGCCATGATTGTGATGTAAGTGAAACATCTCTAGTGACTTAGATTCTATAGATCAGTATATGACACGGTTCCTAACAAGATGTCCAAATAAAGCCTCCAGTATACTCAAGAAGGTGAAGAGAATCAGACAAGAAGTTTCTCAGTGAGATCAACCTATATGTTTACATAGTATCCAGTCATCTAGTTTTGATTCGTCATGGCCCACTACCAATGAGTTCAGTTACATCAGTATTTGATGCTGTATGACATGTGTGCCTTAAATTACATCAAATGCTGTTATATTGGGTAAAGGTTTTAATGAAATTTTGTTTCTCATGCAATCGGAAGAGGCTACGAATGACGATCTCCAGGTCAAACAGATGATTGAATAACAGCTACACGCTTTTGTGTTATCGCCAGCGGCTGCAGAAACAGAAAAATGATCATGTGGGAAGTAAAGGAGCAAGGGCAAGCTCGAAGGGGTGAGACGATTTCAATTAGGTAAGAAAAATCCATGATCATTATGCTGTCCGCATACCGATATGCAGCAAGTTAAAGGTTATTGGTTGGAGAAAACAACAGTAAAAACTAAAACTATAAAAAAATATTAAAAAATTTGGTTTCTCAACAGGAAACTGCACAGTATAACTAGCTAAGAGTTTTGATTTTGGCAAAATAAAAAAAAATAAACAATAAGAGCGCGGTTCATATCCCTGTGAACAATTCCGCTTCGCTTCACATTTCCCATTTCACCAGTGCACAAACATAAATTTTCTCTTCAGCAAAAGAATGTAGAAAAAAATTGAAACTTCGGTATATAAAGGTAAAGGTACTGATAACACAATCGTCTGCTATCTATTCGGTAAGGCTGACTAACATGATCAAAAACACTTCAAGACTATTTGAGAGTTAACAACTCGAAAACGCTTACTTTAACCGATGATTTGTTATGAAATCATCGTCGAATTGCATCGACCGGAAAGATCAAACAGGATGGAGTTACTGAAAGTGTTCGCATTATTCGTAGCCTCAGCAACCGCATCATTCTGGAGCGGCTCTTGATCTTTAAGACCAAGCTACGGCTATATGGGATCATATGAATCGCCATCGGCTTCGTTCTATACACCTATCTACTCCACATATCACCTAGTCTATCATCCGATCAGCCTTCGTCGTAAAACGCAATCGTCTTCTCTTCCTGACCAACAATTACAACTATTTGGTATCGAGAAGCTATAGAATATATGAATTGAAGCTAGCGAGAATACAACCTTGAACAAGATGGAAGAGGTCGAGTAGCAATTGATCTCAGCGAAATCATCTGTTCGTCAGATTATCCGGGAGAAGACAGCAATCTAGTAATACTGACAAGGGAAGGATCCCAAGTGGAAGTGGCCGTTTGAAATGAGACCTCCTTGCTAGACCTTTTTTATGCTGATTTCGAATCTGCATTCAAAATCTACCAAGCAGTTCTCTGAACGAAGTTACGGGGCTGGCCTTCGGAGTGCACTCAGCACAGGCAGGCACACAAGGCATGGTCGCAGGCAGAACCGCAGTGGCGGCTTGGAGTAGGGGTAAGCGTGACACTTCATAGGTATGGGATAAAGGTTTGGGTTTGTGGGTGACGGCGTTTTCGCATTTTGCCGGTCTATTTACACCATGATGTAAAAATCTTTCTGCGCTAGTTTTACCGCCTTCAGCGACTTTTTGAATGCTCGAGGAGGATCACTTCCTGCCCAAACTGTCTTCCTCTCCGCAATGATACCGATCACTTTTCAAAAAAGGTGACGGTTATGGTCAGTCTTCGAATAAGTTTCCAAGGAGAGGTGTATCTATGCTCAGAATTTGGGGGTTGGGGCGAGTAAAACGCATATGATGGGCAAGAAATTCATGTATGAGTGGATTCGATCATGTGTGGCTGATCCTCTGAGTGGGACTCACCAACGTCAATGTTGCTAGTGATGGACTCTTGGACATCCTTCATAGACCATAAAGCTATTCAGTCGTCACTACCTTCACAAAACCGGTGGAAGGTGGTGAACATCCCAGCTGGTACTACGAGGTAAATACATTATTTCTTCTTGCCATTCAAAAAAATGTTAAAACGTATCATCTCATACCGTATTAGCTCATGATCTCAATTTGCGTGATACTCATGATTCAATTCTCCGGTCACTGTCAATTAAACACTTTCAAACCTGTGCTCCTAGGCTCAGGACGTTTCTCTCTTACTCACGGCACGCTGCCGGTTTATGAAAGGCACAGTTCACGACAATTTTGTGGTACCCGTTTTTATTCGATAAGGGGAAGTAAAGGTTGAGAAGGGTTGAGTTTGTTTCATCGAAAAAGTTAAAGTTAGCGAGGGAATTGGCCGATTTCGAGAAAAATATAGCTCCCCGAAAGTATGGAGAATAAGGTGTGACGAGATTGCCATGGCGGCGAGATTCCAGTTATTGCAATTGCACAAAGAGCTGACTACATTGAGTCAGAACTGTACAGAACTGTCTTTCACTGTAGCTATGTGTCATGACAAGTTGTTTGAACCTCTTACGTGGGTTCCCTTGTGAACGGTGCAGCCTCTACAGTGCCGGCGAAACTCGTCAGAGGATACATACGGGTCAATCTTTGAGCCTTTATAAATCCTTAACCAGGCCGTTTTCCGACTTAATAGTGCCAGGTATGGTATACGTGGGGGCGTCAAATCCATCCTGTGGAGGAATCTCAGAATCCATTTTTTTGTGAAGTGCGATTTTAAGCGCAGATCGAGGTGGATTCGAGACACCTACCCACTTCTGTCTCCCATCTGGTCTAGTAAATGATTGTGAAGAAACAGTCTGCGATGAAATTTTTCCATTCGTTGCTTTCATTGTGAAAACTTTTTTGTTTGAAACATTTCGGGCTAAATTATAACATATGCTTGTAATGGTTAAAAATTATCCTACTGTGAATTTGAAATGTATAAGAGTAGTACTGTTGATGTCAGAAGGTTCAAGTAGGAACTGCTCCATCTCAAGCATTCAAAAAGTAAAAGGGGGGTAAAACTGGCGGTAAAACTCGAAACTAAACTCGAAGGCGGTAAAACTAACATGAAAAAATTTTACAACATGGAGGAAACAGTTCTGCCAAAAACGCTGTCACCCACCAAAGCCGAACCTTTATCCCATACCTATGAAGCGTCACGCTTATCTATACTCCAAGCCGCCACTGTAGGTTTGCCTGCGACCATGTCTTTTGTGCTTGAATGTGTTGACTGCACTCGGGAGACCACCTTCATAGCTTTGGTCAGAGAATCGTTTGGCAGATTCTGAATGCCGATTCGAAATCAGCGTCAAAATATGTGTCCAGCAGGGTTTTTCTCATTTCAAATGGCCACTTCGACTTGGGATCCTTCCCTTGTGAAGATGTTCGCGAGTAAGATTTCTAACAGTATGATTTCTGAACAACGGTGTCTATACCGCACAGCTCTTCCAACATTCCGAGCGCTAGTTCGGCAGCTTGAATTGTTAATGTTTGTTCATGTGTCACATGGGTCACCAGCGTTCCTCTCCTATCCCACTTCCTCTTTTGGCACTGAAAAATACATATCCCCCAATCGCCACTTCTTCCGTTACATCGGTAGAATGGCTGGTTAGTGGTCACTCATGATTGGTTAATTGCCCCTGTTACTACCGCCAATAGGAACCTTCGGAAAGAGTTGGTGAAATGTGTGTCAAAATCAGTAATTCAACGTCAGTTCGTCCAGCTTGCATCCGAGGTCACAGAAGCAGTTATCGAAGCCAAGGTCTCTCCAGCCTCCTGAGCACTTTATATTGGGCGGTATTGAACTATTCCGTCACCTAAGTTTGGGGAGAAAGCTGTAAATACTATAAAAAAAAAGCAGCCATTTGAACTTTTCTGACGAAATAAAACTGTGAAGTATTCAAGCAGAGGTTTCAGCTGACTCTATGAAATAAAATAGACCTGATCATTTCCAGAAAGAACAGGCATACCCGCACCTACACGCCAAACGCCAGTGATGACTGCCTCCCTATCCTCTGTGGGCGCTCAAATCAGCTACGACGATGTTCAAGGGTAGATTGCTCAATTAGCAGGACGGGTCGGACCTTATTGAAATGAATGCATTTGGGTGTGCAACATTGTGTAGCGATCACCTCGTGCTACAAGTATTATGAGAATTTTTCAACTTGTGAGGATGAGACCAACACCTCCAAAAGACTCACGAATCGACTCTAGCCTACCAGGTGAGTGCATCAGCTTATCAGCAACGTAGTGGCAATTTCGGATGCATAAATGGCCCATATGGTGAGCTGCGGTGGCCAGCCGATGTACAAACAGTGGCTCTGCCCTCTCAGATGTACCAGTAAGAGCTCGTGGACGAATGAAAGGTTCGGTTAACCTAGTAGTATTTCAACGCAGGGTTCGATCATTATAGCTTGCGTGTGTGAAAGTCGCCTTTTGCCAATACACCACCTCGGCATGAAAGTTGTAGCATTGCCGTTATTCTAGTACTGCAGTTGTAGTTTTTGGAGCGCCGGTCGGACCGCCCGGCTCGCGCCGGGCCTCATTCCCTACTATTGCCAAGCAGTTATAAAGCGTAGTTAGGAGGGGGAGGGGAGGGGAAGAGGGTATTGCTTTTATCCAGCACCGAGGGCAAGAGTGCAGAGGAGGGGTAGCTGACCTGACCTGTACTTAAAAACGGTTCTGAGCGAAGGAGTGTGGTTTCACGCTAAGCCTCAGCGGGGAAAGAGCGGTGGGGTGGGGTGGGATGATTACCACCTACAGAAAGTTAGAATGGGGTTGATTATTCTATTGACCCACCCACCCCAGTGCTCTTCTCCTCCTTGAGCATAGATTAAAAGAATGTATATTCTCGGCTAAAAAACGTGAGCTTAATTATGGGGCAACCTCCTTACGATGAAATTATGTTGAAAAAAAGCGGAGGTCTCTCACTTAAATTATC